CTTTCTTTCTTTCTCTTTCTTGCCCTTTGCTGGTCATACCCTTTGCTAGTCATACCTTCGCTAGTCATACCCTTTGCTAGTCATACCCTTTGCTAGTCATACCCTTTGCTAGTCATACCCCCTCCTGCCCTTTGCTAGTCATACCTTTTGCCATTTAGATATTTCTCTCCTACGTATGTACTCGTCTGGTTCGAACAACGGTTGTTGTGGGCGAAGAGTATCACACACACAGACAAACACAGACATTTCCTTACCGCCTTATTCATACACACACACACTAGCGATTCGAAATACCTGGACACACACACACACACACACACACATTCTGGCATGCACCCTTAAAGTTGGCTACTGCGTGCCAGAAACTCACGAATGATGACCGTTGCGACTTCGAATGGCAGTAGCCAACTTGGGAACAAACAAGAAGACACACACATAGACCATTCATACACACACATCCATAGACATATACACAAAGACACACAGACATCCACATAGGTTTATACATAGACGCCATACACACACACACACACACGCACACACACACACACATTCTGGCATGCACCTTTAAAGTTGGTTACTGCGTGCCAGAAACTGATGAATGATGATCGTTGCGACTTCGAATGGCACGCAGTAGCCAACTTGGGAACAGACACGAAGACACACGCACAGACCATTCATACACACACATCCATAGACATATACACAAAGACACACAGACATCCACATAGGTTCRTACATAGACGCCACACACACACACACACACACACACACACACACACATTCTGGCATGCACCCTTAAAGTTGGCTACTGCGTGCCAGAAATTGACGAATGATGACCGTTGCAACTTCGAATGGCACGCAGTAGCCAACTTGGGAACAGACACGAAGACACATGCACAGACCATTCATACACACACATCCATAAACATATACACAAAGACACACAGACATCCACATAGGTTTATACATAGACGCCACACACACATACACACACACATACACACACACACACACACACACACACACAACATCACAGATACACACACGCAGATATGGGTGGAGGGAGAGAAAGAGAGAGAGAGAGAGAGAGAGAGAGAGAGAGAGAGAGTCGTTGACGTCATTCTGTGTTTCCGCTGGCAGAAAGAAAGGACGAAAGACAAACCGTACGCATCATGTCGATGTCAGTAGCACAAGTGGAGGCTGCTCTTGCAGAGATAATGAAGTATGCAAAGGAGGGCGTCCACTACAACGGTGACAACGAGTTGTCTTTGCTTGAGGACAGGGTGTCGAGGTACTTCATAGTCGGTGTGGATATGAGATCCACGATCATGGCAAACGGCGAGGGCTGTGTCAAAGCACGAACACTCTTGCAATGCTTCAGAGAGTCACCACATGTATGTGTGGACAGCGATGTGGAAGGCAGTGCATATAGTCTAAAAGGAGTGGTCGAGTGGATGTGCAGCGAAGGGATGTGCGAAGAAGGAGACGTTGACATGACAATGCAGCAGAAAGGGGGGACATATAAACCTGCGGATTTCAAGAAGTTGCTGGGCACTGTGGCAAGGAATGGGGAAATGCTTATTGATGGGTCGAAGGAGGAGTTGAAGAGTGGTGCTGCAGAAATTTTGGTGTTGTCCAGAATGAAGGACATTACACAAACACCACCAGAAGACTTTCAAGATGTTCTTGTCATTGTTGCAGATGGTGTGAAATATGTTCTGCTGGATCAACTTGTGGACTTCTTGAAAAAGAGTGCCGGCGACAAGAACGTCATCCATGAGGCGTTGCACGAAGTCACAAAGTTTGAACTGTAGGGTCAAGATCTGATAGAATTTGTGCCAGCAAGAACAGAAGAGAACATCATATCTGGCAGACCGTTGTGGGGGGAGTTATTATCATCTGCTTTGGAGCGGCTCGGTCTTGCAAGTTGCGATGTCGAGAGACAAAGAGAAAGAGAAGAAGGGTGGAAGGTGATGGTCAGGGAAACAAATTTAGCAATCATTCCAGACAACGGACAGACATCAGCAGCACAAGAATCAATAACCAGTATGGCAGTCGATGTGCCTCCCATGCACATAGCAACGAGAGAGGAGCTAGTGTATTCTGATATCTTCAATGCTTTCACAATGGAGAAAGAACAGTGTGATCGTGGCTTTGAAGAGGCCGATTTCCCAAGTTGTTTTGCAGAGTACACAGACAATGCAGAAGAAGAAGATGAAGAAGAGGATGAGGGGGCATCATCTTCTGACGTGGAAGCGAGCGGCAACGATGTCAGCAGCGACGAGGAAGACGAGGAACATGATGTATACTATGATTTGAAGGCGGCGGGTGGACAAGTGACAAAAGGGTTGGCACATGCAATTTTGAGTTTGGCACGTGCTTTTCTCGATCCGCATAAAGTGCTGCGTGTTGTGATGAAGGAGGCAACACCAGATGGTGCACTACAGTATGCCGCAGTGACCAGCATAATGAAATCATACAACAAGGGGAAAAAGTGGTCACGTGTTGGCAAGGGATGGTTTGTTCTGGTCCATAGAGAGGCTGTGCTAGCAACGTCACTGACATGGAGAGTCAACCTGAGTTGCCTCATACACGGCGCACTGGCGACAGCTTGGGGAGAAACATTGCACCCCGGCTTGTCAACAGGAGACGCAATAGTTAGTGCTCGGCCACGGCAGCGACTAGAGACACACCCACTCACCACGACAGACCATGTTAGACATCAGGGATGATGACAGGCATGCATAGCATAGAGCAATAGAGTGGTAGTACAAACAACCAATGCACATACGTTTTGATACGCATGGGAAGCTCAACCTGTACATTCCTCAACCTGTACATCCCTCAATGTCTGCCTCAATTTCAACAACAGTCGGATCACTACTGCGTGCCATATCAGTGTCCACCGGTGTTGTTTGTTGTCGTTCTGGCCTGCACTAGTGAACCTCTCTCTCTCTCTCTTTCTCTCTCTCTCTCTTTCTCTCTCTCTCACATATATCGAGTTGTAGCTATATGAGAACCTATACATCCATCTGCGGGTTCTGTGTCATGTTGCCTGTTGTTTGCCTCTCCAAGTACATGCGGTTCACTACAGCGTGCAGATACAGGATTGAACAATAGTTCAATCATTTGATGATTGTTACAATGTATGTCATAATTTGTTGTCTTTTGGAGTACGTGAGACACATCAAACCCCCTGTGATGACCAATTAGTGTATGTTGTGTTTTTTTTTGCATTCTCTGTAATTTAAATTCAAATATACTAGGTTGTAAAATGTCTTGGAAGTGGTTGCGGCGGTCGGGTGAGGTGCCGAGGTGCAATCATTTTCACGCGGACATGGAAAACACATACCACATTCACAAACGTCGTGGATGGATAGTTGCGAACTTGGGCAGCCGCATAAACTTAGTGCTGAATGTTGTGTCATATATCGTGTACCATGTGTAAGTCGTTGCCTCTTCCAACACGACCATAGAACTTGTCATGGCATATAAATTATCGTGTCACATGGTTGACTACTAATCTTTGTCAATTGGGATCAGCGACACAGACCATTCGTACCAAAAACGGCAATCAGTACTCCCTCTCTATCTCTCTCTCACAGAGAAGAGGATGTGCAACACTTACACAATATAACAAAATATGCTCTACAACTTATAATTCAAACGACTTGAACCAATGTACAAAATGCTAATCAAAACACTGTCCGCACCGCTCTGTTTGTTTTTGGAATGTACTGCGTGCACAAAAATGGACAGTGGTCCACGCGTGTGCGACCGTGGCAGACCTTTCATGTCATTACAAACTTAGAACTCACATCGTGCAAGGGCATGCCCGACCGTAGCGGACGAAAGAATACATGGTCAGGAGATGGGTGTGGTCGATGACGCCGGACCATCAAGTATCGGTGCAAAGAATCTCGTGAGCGATGAGAGCGAGGACGTTGGGGCCCCCGAGAATGTAGACGGGGAGGGCGGGACATTCCAAGAGCAGCAACCGCAGCCTGTCGAGTCTTTTGACAGCTCTCGCAAGCTGGCGGCACTGATTTTCTCTGCCAGGGGTGACGTCGGTATGTCGCAGAGTGACATAGATGCTCTCTTGTCACTTCTCACACACCCGAGATTCAACACGAGAGACATCGCGTATCGTAATAGTCGAGAGTGTTTAACATGGGCATGGAGTTTAGCAGAGGCTGCTGGATGGAAAAAGTTGGATCTACGTTGTGACGATTGGCCCAGAGATGCGCACGCCATCTTGTGGCACCGCGACTGGCGAACGACATTTCTGTCGATTTTTCATATCGCATTACAGAAATGCGATACGGTGTCTTCTCTAGAAGGTCTCCGCCGTCATAGCACCTCAGTATATCCGGCCCACGCAGCGAGGCGCTAAGTTATCACATCCAGTCGATCATTCGAGCGGACAAAGGTGTGGATGGGAATGGTAATCCACGTTATGTTATCCCTCTTTCATTGTATTCCGATAAGACACATACAGACGGTCGTCAAAAACAGACGGCGTACCCTATGATGATGTCATTAACCGACCACGCATCCGAAGCCACACTGCTGGCCTATCTTCCTGTGCTTCATCATCGTCCACGTGACAAAGGATGGGGTCTGCAGTCCACCGCATTCAAAAAGCGAAAGACCATCATTTTGCAGAAGGCCTTTTCAGTGGTGTTGCAGTCTGCGAATGAGGCATCTCATGACGGAATAATGATACCAACAACGCGATTCAGGGACATAACTGTCCACCCTTTCCTCCTCAACTATATCCAGGACTACCCAGAACAATGTGCGATTCCAACCGTGAAGTTTGGTGTATGTCCGACATTCGCCGTGTCCAAAAACGATTTTGATGTCATAACCGATTATACAGACTGCAGAAGATCACAGACGCTGAAAACACACCTCACAGCAGATGTGTTCATCGCCGACGACATCGACGCTCGCCGTGCAGCGGAAGCACGAATGTCGGAGTTGAACATGCATAGGCATGTTCAACAGAACGGCCTTTGAGGGTTCTATAGGGGCCCCAATGGTGACGATCCTCAGCTAGACTACCACCTGGCATTGCAACCAGACCGTATGCACACAATCGAGCACGGCATATTCCTGCACATGATTGACGCATTCAGGACCGCAGCCTTTGAGAAGTTGCCGCAATTACCACAAACAGAGATCCTGAAGGAACTAGATGCAAGGTTGCAAAGCGTTAGTGAGAGATGCACGCGAACATACCCCCAACTTGTACTGCCGGTGCCACTTACAGCGACTTTTTTTCGAGGGAGGGACGGTTCGAGGCGAAGCAAAACCGGTCTGTGATGAAAGTGTGCGTGTTCCTTATTTTTAATATTATCCCGCGCTCGACAGGCAAGAGCATTACCGTTTGTTTTGTGAAACTGATGGAAATGTACATACGAGTGTTTCGGTGTACAACACACACTCGTGCTTCGCTCGATGAATGCGACGCTTTGATCACGGACTTCATAACGACGATCAAAGCAAAATTGAGAAAATATCAACCATCAGCATGGAAACTCCCCAAGTTGCACGATCTCATGCATCTGACAACGTGTATTGAGCGATCCGGTGTCCCCGACACCTTCGCGACAGATTTTTGGGAGCATCACCACAAGAAATTCTGCAAACAGCCATACCTGTTACAAACAAGCGGAAAGTTTTAACCCAGATGGTAAACCATGTACGCCGGTCATTGGCGTTGCGCGAAGAGATCGGGATCCTGAGGAAACGGAGGAAGAGAACGGTTGAGAACCGGTCGTCCGTGACAGACTGTATGGCCACTGGAATGAACACCCTCGCACTACGCGATACGGCAATGCTGCAACTGCGGTGGTTCGACATCGATGACGAGTACATACGTGAGGGAGAAGACATTGACAACCATGCGTGTAAGATATTCAAAGAGTTTCCTTGCAGACGCAATTTTCGAGTTGCGCTTACGACATACATGGTGGAGAATGGTTGTCAACCTCCTTCTGACGACCTGCTTATACACACACGGACACACCAGGTCATCGCCTGCGTACAGGACGGAACAAACAGGGGCACACTTGTTCAAACTGCAAGAGCATCGCCACAGTTCCATGGGAGACCAGTGCACTGTGACGTCGCAATTAGAGCAGGCAACAAATGCACATGGTTTGCATCAATAGCCATGTTTTTTGTCGTGGACGCACTCGCGGACAGCGGTAATATGGAACACAACTGTGGATTTGTGCAATGGTACAAGGAGGTCGACAGTGAACGGCAACACATGACAGGTTGCAAGAAATTGAAATGGGAGAAGTTGAATGGACATCAACACAGTAGCGTCGTTTCAACCGACACTATTGTAGACATAGTTCACATTGTTCCGCGCTTCTCTAAACCACAATGGAGATCGAAGCAGCATGCAAAACAGCATGACGATTGTTTTCATTTGAACAAGTACATATTGTAGAAGAAACAAATGCAAAGTTTCTATGTTTGCTATTTTATTTATATATATATATATATATATATATATATAAAGAGAGAGAGAGAGAGAGAGTTTCTATCTATCGTCGCCATGAAACAGCAATGTTGTTTCTTCCGAAATATAGGGGAACAAGAGAGGACATTCCTCTCTTTCTTTCCGTTATTTGTTGAGAAATATCATGTCAAATGTGGCCAAGCTTATGAAGCGGTGAAAACCACATGCGAGACGAAACTGTCCCCAAAAGTTCACTACTACGTGACATTTACGTGGTCAACAGTGACATCGTTTCAGTTTTGGCACGTAATAGCCAACCTCTCTCTCTCTCTCTCTCTCTGTCTCTCTCTCTCCGAAGTATCCTATAAAAATGATTTCAAGTTCTTAAAAAATTCAACAAATCGTCCGTGTCATTCCATTTTGACCGACACGTGTAAACAGGAACAGAAACTTACGACGTCGCGCAGCGTTCGGGAAGTAGCGACACAGAACACTGAATAACAGGGTGCAGGTAAAAGAAGCCGAGGGAGGATAACAGAGTCACAGAAAAGTTACACGTGTGGTGGGCGGCGCGAAGTGGTCATATGTGGGTACAGAACCGGTCACCGGTCCAAGGATGCAAAATAAAGACGAAGAGGACCGCAGAGAGGTGGCAAGCGAACCGTTGTTGCCATTGACCAGTGAGAGGTCTGCAAAGAGGTGGCAGAAAATGTTGAGGGACCCTTGGTACGCGAAAATGTACGATAGAATGACAGAGGGTGAAGCAAAATCTCCCAAGTTGATAATCGAAGAGTCATCCGACATTAAGGGAAAAGCGAAAGTCGGGGATATGACGAGAACGAGAGAAGAGCAGACTGACACTAATGATGAGGACGAATTGACCGTTGGCCTTACCGTTGAGGTCGTCAAAGGACGATGCGAGGAAAGTTCACTACTGCGGGCATTTGTTACATAAGAACCGGTGGCTTGACCAGTTTATTGACCCGAAGTAGCCAACCTTCTCTCGCTGATGGCCGGGGACATCTTCCAAATTTTTCTTTGCTTGTTTTTTTTTTGTTATTGTGACTATGCGAACCCATGCCGCCTGACAATACAGATACAGTCGTTCTGACGCACAAAGAGGTTGGCAACTTAAATGACGTCGCAGTATCAACAATAAGATCTTGGTTGTGTCTCTCTCTCTCTCTCTCTCTCTCTCTCTCTCTCTCTCTATGCGGCCATTACACTTCAAGGGTGTATGGATCGACGCACGACATTGCTGACACAGTTGTTATTCGTATTCCACTTTGATATATGTGGGCAAAAAAAGGGTAATGGCTCCAAGGCCAAAATACGAGGATCTGTGCAGGTCTTTGAAGGCCGTGGGAAAGAAGGACAAGGGGAGGAAAAAATGTAAGGCTGATAAGAAAAAAAAAAGGAGAGTGCATCGCAGAAGTGGATCCTAGAATGCAAAAACGGAGCGGACCAGCAGCTGCAGAAACAGATCAAAAGTTTCTCTCCCATCAAGTCAGAGGGAGATTTCAAAGCTGAAATAACGCAATGAGTCACCCCCTGCGTTTCTTGCCCCACGGAACCGTGTCAGCGGCGTCGTTAATCGTCCACCCAAGGCCCCCGAGAAGAGGTCGAGGGAAGACAGAATGTCAAAGGTGCACCGCAGGACAAAGAAGAGAATCACGTACAAAAAGGACAGAATGGTGGAGATGATCGATCTGAGAGCCTGGGACGATATGTACAGCGAGGCCCGAGAGGAAGCAGAAGAGGAACACGACCAGTCCATATCACAAAAGTCTTACAGGAAGGAGAACGAGGCAACAAGTGACGAGGGAGGTGACAGTGAAACTTCCGACGGATATTCTTGCGACACTCACGACGCTGACGACGAGGACGGCAGGAGCAGCGACGGCGCAGCACAGGACGAGGGCGGTGACGCGGCAGGCGAAGACAACAGAAGCGCGGACGGAGAGAGAGTTCTCCATCTTTGGGAAGAACGCGACGCACGAGGGAACCCGAAAGTGGCGGCGAGGGAGGCGCAGCCAACGCGCCCTCCATTGACAGACAACTAGTGAGGCACGACAATGCAGTTCAAAAAGGTAAAAAAAATGTGCTGCAGTTGCTCCTCTTGTACAACGATTATGTGGTGACGGCGCAAAGTGATGGCATTTCCTTAATGCGAGAATGTCACTGTGATGAACGAACAGTTGAAACGGGCTGTCGAATTTCGCAGGTGCGAAAACGGGTGTGAAATGCCGAATTCTTAATGTTATTCTGTGCGTTGTAATGTGTGTCTTCTAGCAGATGGTACGAACTCGCAAAGAAAAGTATGTGCGAGCAGGGCAGGATAGCAACAAGTCAATCAAGAAAGCGGCGTATTCTCGAAGAAAATGAAGGACAGACTGTTCCGGTCGGTCGCAACAGTCTTTGCGTTCTCAGCAGCAAAGGACGCAACTCTGTACCTAACAGAGGATGAATTTTTCACGGCGCTGCAAACAACGGCGAAACTGATAGGGGAGAACGCGGAGGAAGGATTGAGATCACACGTAGCGGAGTGCGGGATTCGAGCAGTCATACGGGAGTGCAACAGAATGATGACAACCGTGTGTGGAGAGATAACATGGCAACTGAAACATTGGTTCTGGGCTGAAAAAGGGATCCCGCTTGTACGATCGCAGCAAACAGATCACCAGCTCCCTACTCGCAACAAGATGCGAGCAGAGATGAAGGAGAACAATTCGTGGAGACGGAGCGGCGACGATCCTTGGGGTGCCCCAGCCTTCAAGACGGCACTCACCAAGGTTTTCCAGATGAGGAGGGACGACGTAAACCTTGGCATGACCCTGCAGCAACTGGCTTTTGCAAAGATGGTTCTGCAATGTGAAATGGAGCAGACAACAAAGACCAGCAGAGCGTTGGAGCAGATAGAAAAATTGGTCTCTATAAAGCAGAACATTGCATCATCTGTCCGCAACCGCGATACAGTCATGAGTTTTTCGATCTTCAAGCTGGACCGTGCCGTATCTGTTGCTGAGAAAGCTGCTGCGCTATTTCGATCTGGCGTGCCCTCTGTCCACAGGAGTGGGCCACAGAACACAACAATAACGGACGACGATTTCGACCTGGAGTTCATTGCACCGCTGCATGAGAGAGGCAGAGACGGGGAGAGGGATACAGAAAGTCTGTGCG